AGGCTGAAGCGAATAATATGTATGTGGATGAAATACCCACAGAACTATCCTCAGAAAACACTAGAACAAATACGAATAACTCAACGAATAGTATTTGAGAAGATTGGGGTCATGCATAAAGGACAACAGAGAAAAAATAAAGGTGCAATATGTAATGTACCTGTAGAATGTGAACAGACATGTAATCAACTCCCTCATCAACCTGATAGATCTTGCATAATAATACTTAAAGCTTAAAAGAAAGTTGCAAACTAGAGGACATGTTTATTTTGAAGCATCACGACCAGAGTTAATACAGCAAGTTCTTAACTAGCTCAAAGTACATAATCCATTTTACAAAGATATACTAGTCGATATTAACAATATTGATAGCAACCTCAGAACTTTACAAAATGATGCAGACGATAATGATACACATCAACAAGCTACATCAAACAATGTAACAACAGATAGTGATCCTGCTTTGGAGTTTGATACAAGAAAAAATGATAAATTAAATAGTAATGAAGAAGAAAATGATGACCCCTTAAATGAATTCAGAGTCCTAGTATGCGAGACATGCTTAAAGTCAATCATACCAAACTATCCAGTGGTGAATGCTCAAGTAAAACGCTCGATATGAAGCCCGAGTGGAACCTCTTCGAGCGTCTAGTTTGAGAATACCAATGGGTTATACGAAAATCTTTGGAACGAATTGAAGAAAGTTCTTCGAAAATCTTGTGCCACATTGTCATTGATAAGACGGCGTTTTCAAGAAAATATCAAAAAACAAAGCTTTGTGTGTCGCCAAGCATGATGCCGGGCTCGTTTACATGCCGTTGGATCATAAGGAAAACCCATAACAGCCACTGTGTGTCTCTCGCTATCTCGACCCTTGATGGGTGTTTCTTTCTCGTCTTATCCTTTTCGAGTCCTTTCTTTCCAGCTGCCCCTGGAACTGAATTATAAACCTTTTGAAGACATTATTTCTTTTATATAATCTGTCAAATATTGCATCTGCTGATATCGTGACCAAACAAGGAAAATCTGTTTGCTTTGTTAATCTTCTTCAACTTTCGGTTTTCAGGACTTTCAGGGTTCCGTGTTCTTTACTAACGAGATAGTTGACCTAGGCATTTTTAGAGTTAAAGTGCAAGTCCTTTTCCTTTGTCAGTGGCGCTGACATATGCTGATTTCTTGCGCATTTGGTACTTTTAGAATCTCATTTACAAAGTCTTTTTTACTTAATCGAATTGGCAGCTGACCAGGAAATCAAGCCCAAGCTCCAGCTGTGACATGATCATCTTGCCAAATAACAGTCATGGCGGAAGTATAAGAGTTTGCATGGGAATATTTACGACCGCTCTAAGGAATAAAAAAATGCGTCCAATTTTCTATAAAATACCTCACCTTACTTTCACAGTGTATCGCTTGTTACCTGACCGCTTACTACGTTGAAGGGAACCCATTTTAACGAGTTATCCATTTCGAGGTTTTCTACGTACACAAGAAAAGCCCAGTATACCTACTGAATCACTCACTCAATCAATACAAACCCAGATTTGAAGGCGTCCTCCTTAAGAGAGTTTTTCCTATGTACGTAGAAATCCTAGAAATGTATAACTCGTTAAAATGGGTGCCCTTCAACAAGCGACTACAGTAAAGAGCAGATTTCCGCTTCACGTATGTGTCTTGCCATCAGACAGCACGCACACCGGAATTCCGTTGTTTAGCAACTAAAGCAAATTTGACAGTGGATTGAAGTTGAAAAAGAAACTGAATGATACAATTATGCCGAAGGAATGATAGGTCAAATTTCTCTTTTCCTCTTCTTCCATGAGTCTTCCATAATCGGCCAGCTTATTTCCGAACCTTATGTTTTTTAAAACCTGAGAATTTTGCGAATGCGTCTATTATTAGATCAAGATGTCCAGCAGTACTGAATGAATGTACGATTTCCCCCTCAAAAGAAGCATTTTCCAATAACATAAAAAAGAAAAAAAAATGGGAAGCCATTCGAAACTGAAACCTAGACTATTCATCCGTTGCTTAATAGATAAAGAGATTTCCACTAAGGAGGTGAACAAAATGCAAGAGGAAAGACCAAGTAACCCTTAGCAAGAGCGACATCATACAAGGGACGATGTCTAATGACATTTGGCAAAAGTGTGTTTATCAAACCAGAAACAGCGTAAGAGAAGGAGAGAGAGCAAGAAAGAAGAAGATAAAGAGGAGAGGGGAGTCCACCTTATTGCGTAACTGATCACACTCGTCAGTTTGTTCTCACAAAAACATGCGACTATGCGCTGATAAGGATTGATGTGCCATATAACAAAAGGTGATCATCCTTCATATATACAATGCGAGCAACATTCCCAAAAAAGGGAATGTTTTCCCCGATAAGACCCACAAAATTTGACCTTTTTTAGTTGGGGTCACATCATTGATCAGGCATGGAAAATCACAAATTTTAGTCTCGAGAACTTCCACTATAGGTTCCGGGATTTTGTTCCTGGCCCATGAAACAAATACTTCATTCAAATACTATTCAACTACGTTTTGCAGATAAATTGAGCAATTTTGCTCTTAAATATTTATTTTAGGGATGAAAACGTGCCTGGACGAGTTGTCGTATATATGACAAGAATGACGTTAAATTCCAAGAAAGAGGTCCAGCAATGACTTTGCATAACCGCGACCTTTCATCCAAACAATTAAATACTTAAAGAATTGAACCGGCTTATTCCTAAAATATCACATCCGTTATCCGAATACCATTATAAACAGTACATGAACCTGCCAAAATGCGTGCTAAATACGTCGACGACAAATGAAAAGAAAGCCAGAAACAAAACCAGTGATGGATTTTCCCTACAGTTCTCAAAACCTAAGGTACATTACTTTTTGAAGTAATTAAAACAGGCAATGATCTACTTAGGTGGAACAGTAGTCACCTTGCATGATCAGAACGTTTTAGTTTAAAATTCTAAAAACACGATAGAACAAACAAGATAGAACACATGTAGCAACAAGGAAAAACAACACAAGAATTCCGAGAAATCAAGTGACAGGTAAGCTCGTTTGATACCAATTCCGCCTAAGGCAAAGGTACAAGTTGCTCGAAAGATCACGTACACAGGAAGCTGATAAACAGATGATACTGTATAAAAGAAGCCGTGATTTCTGTACTCATCATTCAAGTCTACTGGCAGCTTGAAGAGAACCAGCGAATAATTTGGAGAAGAACCATTCTTCAAAGCTCGAAATGGTGAGAGAATCTTATTGTAAAATAATGTTTTTTGTATAATATAGTATACTCGCATTAACTTTTCCATGTAGAGGATTCAACACGCTCCACGCTTAAGCATTTTGAGTATCTATTAAGGCCAGTTTTTAAGGTGGCCCATCAACCTCTATAATTAACGATGGTCACCACGAGTTATGCTCCGAATCTAACGACTAGTACAACCTGTCTGGTTAAGTTCTTTAGCTTGTTGAATAATTGGACGCTTGATATTCTCTTAAACGAGATCCTTGGGCTTTCTTTTCCCTTAAACAAATAACCACACCGAGTAACGGCGATTTATGACGAAGCGAACCCAGACACAGAAAGAAAAAAAAAATAGAAAGAAATGGCCAGTATTGCAGCGAGAGTTAACTGTGTATGATTCAAACCCACTGGCGACGCTACCAAACAATGAACAAGCTCGCCAAAGAGAGTCTCTGTACTTCAGTGATAGAGCATCGAAGTGTGGAATCCGAAGTTCTGAGCTTTGATTCCTTATGGGAAGTAAGAAGTATTTCATAGAGAGGACTCCGTGCTTAATTGCGTCCAATAAAACCGTTATCCCACCACAATGCTCATCTCCACCAGCATGTCAAGAGAACAATTGGCATTCTGCCCGACGAGACATCCGATAAGTCTTACTGACCGTGATGGTCACATGATGCCTTTCTAACAGTAGGAATGAGTTTGCAATGTATCAACAAATAATGTCGTATTGTTTGTAGATTGCAGATTGGAAAGCTTTGTGTTTCATCGCGATTTTCTT